TTAAATTATGGGAATGTTGCATATGGGTTACTGGCTGTCTTTCACAGAAAAACAAACTGGAATATATGGACCAAAGACGTATGTCCAGAGTTCCATAGTTAATCATCTAGATAAAGGCCTGTCTCAAAATCCTGATCTCTCCCTCTAAATAGATGAACTCACTAAAGATCCTGAGATTGAGAACTGGTTACTGCATTTCCTTATACCTGAAGATCGCTTGTCCAGTTGGGTGTTACTATTTGCAATTTGCTCCTGTTCTCCGCTGAGGCTTGTCATTAGCATGCCTATTGATGCTCTCATGTGCTGTATACTGCTGGCACACTATGCCGTGCTCAAATGTCTATGTGAGGAACAGTGGTCTTTCTGCTCTGTAATTTTGCTCTGGAATTCAGCTTTACCTAATCTCTGTGGTTGGCTGTTTTTATCTTACCCCACTCTCTGAAGTATTTGTCTTATTGGATCTGTCTACTTATCCCCTTATCTAATACCCACTTTCCAGAGAGGCTATCATATGCCGTCTCAGAAGAAAGAAGCATTCTCCCTTAGCTAGTTTTGGAGAACAAAACTCTTGTTTGGGCTTTACGTTTAAATTATAAACAAATTATTTAGTTTCTGTTTAAAAATTTCTGATCTCAGTAGTTATAAGAAACTGCATAAAACTTTAAATTATCTGGATGTTTCATGTTGAGATCATTGTAATTATCTTTATTTCATGTAATACACACAAATAAATCATTTTTAAAAAGTATTCTGAGTGAATAGCATACATAATTGTTTAAATATGGTTTAAGTTAGTTAATCAATATAGTTCATATCATATTTCTATCACATATTAGGAAGGTTACAAAATGACAGAGGTGATTTGTAGTTCATGACTTGAGTTTAGTGGTAGGATAGCTGCCTACATATACCCAAAGGATGCTCAGTCATGCCACAAGGACATTTGCTCAACCATGTTCATGGCATTATTTGCAATAGCCAGAATATTGAAGCAACATAGATGCTCCTCAACTGAAGAATGGATGAGGAAAATGTGATACATTTATACAGTAGAGTACTACACAGCAGAAAAAAATAATGACATCTTAAAATTTGAAGGCAAATGGACAGAACTAGAAAAAACCATACTGACTGAGATTACCCAGACACAGAAAGACAAATATAGGCTTACTCATAAGTTGATTTTAGACAAAGAACCAAGAATAACTCACCCACAGTTCACAACCCTAGAGAATCTAGACAATAAAGAGGGGCCTAACAAGACAGACATACATGGATCTGCCTAGGAAGGAGAAAAAGACAAGATCTCCTGAGTAAATTGGGAGTGTGTGTGGGGGCAGTCGTGGAGGGTGGAGGGGAAAGGGAAGGAAGAAACAGGAGTGGGGAAAAATGTATTGCTCAATTAAAAACAATAAAGTATTAAAAAAGAATAGCTGCCTACCATTCATTAACTATTGACTTTTCAATAGTTAAAAATTCTGTATTAGCACCATATATGGAATTTTTAGAAAACCGCGTATTCTATGAGAAAGTGACTCGACATCAGAAATAGGAAACTTTTTTTTTAACTTAAAAGATCAGTAATATATAGCTCAGTGCTAGAACATTTGCTTAACAAGGATTAAATCTCCGGGGCATGAAATAAAAAACAAAAACAATAAAAATGATACATAGGTATGGTTTGATGTCTAACAAAAACCAGAAACCATTTTTCTAAGGTTTTGGGAGGACTTCTAGCATGGGTATACTATTTAAGACAAGATCACCTGCTTCCCTATTCCTTAATGCCTATAATTTATCAGTCATCTTTCTGAGTAGTGAAGTGAATAATATGGCATAGTTTTCCTATCTGGCAGTATATACATTTATGGAGAACGCCCCAGAAATTACTGTGGCATGTACATGTTCTAGTGGGAGAATATAAGATCCTATGAGAGAAAAGAAACTCTTAAGTCAGCCCTTACGAGTTGCTTGAGAGGCTGGGAATGTGTAGAAAAAGCATCTTAGATGAATAAAGCTTCATCTTTCCTACCCAGTGAGTATTCCATTTGTCCATTATCCCGATCTAAAATAAAGCAGAGACACAAGGGAGCACAGAAGACCTGACACAGGGTACTTCCAGGGTGAAGGCAGCGCAAGGTCTTCATCTGGGCTCAGAACTGGGATCCTTGGGGCTGCACATCTGGGGGCCATGAGGTGGAGACTCTAGTGACAGACTAGAAGGATGGAGAAGGATTCATCAGTGGAGTCCGATGTATGGCTGGCTGTGACCCATGAGGAAGAATGAGTCAAATGCCCCCACTGGGATGACTGGGGATGTCGGATGGCTGACTGTTATGTGTGGACGGTGAGAAAGAGCTGATTTGGCAAAGGACGTTTGTTTCTACTTCTAGTTGACATCTGTTAATTCACCCCAGTGTAGGCATTGCCTGTTGCACAATGTCTGGTCTGGTGTTTAGTAGATGTATCAGTTATAATATTGCCTTGGGTCCTTTGTGATAGAGGAGAAGTCTGGGCAGCAAATGTCTCAGCCATTTTATTACTTCAGCCTCACAATGGAGTGTGATGGAGAAGATGGCCAACTCTCAGTTTTGTTCTTGAGCCTGAGAGAATAGCCCCGAAACTGAGAGCAACACACTACTCTCTTCAGAAGCTGTGGTTTCTTATAGCTTCATCCAGTTTGGATGTTAAATGTTTCCTAAAGGTACCTGTGTTGGTTTGGTACACCAGGAGGTGCTGTTGAGAGGTTAGGGAAACTTTAACCAGTGGGAGGGCACAGTGGGATTTCTTCAAGTCACGTGGGACCATGCTTTTGAAGGGAATGTTTCTCTCCATTTCTTTTGTCTTCTTATCGTGAAAGAAGTGGTTCTCCAGACCTAAAAGTGATAAAACTAGTCAGCCACGGTTGGAAATCTACAAAGCTGTGTAACATAATAAATCCTTTCTAAGTTTATCATCTTGGGTATTTGTTATAGTGAGTCAAAGCTAACCCATACTCCTTGCAATCTATTGTCCAGAATGTATTCTTGGGGCTATACCGTGTTGTCAAATAGGCTATGAAACATGTAATGTTAGCTGGGCAGCCATGATGTCCAGTTTAAATCTCAAAATTGTATGGCTGTGAGATAAAAGTTTTATAAGATAGTCTTAAATTTGACAACTGCCTTATAGTCCTTTATTCTGTAAAATGAACCTACTTAAAATTTGGTCATGTTGAATTGAAGGAAGAAAGACATCTAAATAGAAGGTTCTAGAAGATATTGACCAAGAATATTTTGCTAGGTAGAAGATTACACATAGTTGGCATCACTAAAAAGGCCTTAAACTGGAGGAAAAAAACTCAACAACAACAACAGAGCAGGAGACAATTGGTTATCAAGAATCTCAGAAGTGTGTATGGGTTTGCAGCTCAGTGGTAGAGCCTTCTATGTACAAGGTCCTGGGTTCAATTCCGTAGTACAGTACGGAAATGACTTGTCTTGGCATGCACTAGGCTCTAGGTTTGATTCTAAGACAATAGAAATGAAATAGAACTGGTGGTCAGAGACATGAAGGATAATGTTCAGGCGTAATCACCCTATGTCAGACTGCCCTGGCCACTTTATAGACTGCCGGGTGGAGTGAATGAAATATTCACTACCCAAAGCGTCTCATTTTGTCTTTTGTCTTTTGCAAATGTGTGCTTAAATTTAATGGGATACCTATTGATTTAATTAGTGTATAATTCCCTCAAATTCTTCTTAATAGAAATTTCTATATATAGAGATTGTTGTTCATCAGAATATAACCTACTTCCAGACACTGCATTTTTAACTTCTTAGTTCTGAAGGAGACAATGTTACTGAGTCTACTGAAGTAATTAATAATCATTTGAAACCAGTTTTTTGTATGTTCAATCTAATAAACTATTATAAGATGTCAATAATAAACTTTTATGCCATTGTTCTTCCCCAGAGACCACAGTATCTCTTGTGGGGGGTATCATCCCCCATATTGGAAGCTTTTCATAAGGCTGGGTTTTCTGGCATTATGCTATTTTAATGCCCATCCCCATTCCTGCCAGGAGACCAAGAGTGATGCTTTTGCTTTGATGAATATTATTTATGCAGTAAACTTGTAATAATCAGATCAGCTGTCTCTGATTATTTTATTAGTTTCTTGACTGACCCAACTTAAACCAAAAGAAAGACAAGGTCACGAGAGGTAAGAGCTTAGGAGGCAGCAACTGATTCTGGTATTTCAACTGTAATCACTTTTCTTTCCCCTCACTATTTCCCTTAGCAAATTTAAAAGAGAACAGGAGAGTTAAATAGACTTTGCGGGAATAAAAAATTCCTAAGCAGGCAATATTGGTAGTGTGGTTTGCTGGAGAATGTGGTTCAAGCATGGCTACACTCTAATAGTTTGCCTGCCTCTATTGTGGGAGACTTGACTGGGGTCTGCACACGGATTCTCTCAGACTTTCTAAACAGCCAGACTTGGGGCCAGGCCAATGTGTTCCTTCTAATAGGCTACTCATTGTCTTCTATTAATTAGTTGGAAAATTGTTCAACAAATGCTGATCAAATGTAGAATGAAAGAAACTACCAGCAAAATAATGACCACCCACAAGACCCTACTACCTAATGAAGCACATTTTCTATGTTATTGAAGAGATCTGATCTGCAGACTTTCTGTATATAGTTTTATTTTGCCCTTGTTAACCAGTCTTCCAAAGTTTCATCTTGAAAACTTCTCAGGTAGTATATGATGAAAGGTGTAATGTTATTCTTCAGGAAACTAGACTAATATCCTAGACCCCCAGCAGTTTGACTTTGAGGCTGATGGTGAATTTTCAGAAGAAAATGGCGGATTTTATTGGTTTGGTCTAGAAGAACCCCAAAGCAGTCACAAATGGTGTAAGCATTGCTCTTTAGTGGCTCTTTGTGTAGGGTTTTAAAATGTGGCTAAGCATATTAGGGTTTAAGTTAATGTTTCTCCTTTTCCTCTTCCTTGAACAGGTTGTCAAGTTGCTTAGCAACAAACGGTCACAAGCAGTAGGAATTCTAATGTCTAGTCTTCATTTAGATATGAAAGACATACAGCATGGTAAGTATAAAAAATTTAAATGAAGTCGCTTAATACTAACAAATGGGCTAAATTTTGTGATGTTTGCTAGAAAGTTCTACTCATGCAGTTAGTATATTTCCTTTAGCACTATATATAACATCATGTTTTTTTTTATCCTGCTAGGTTTCTATTAATATCATTTCCTGCCTGTTCTATACCATGCTTAAGGTCCAATTTTCACATGATGTTTCGATTCTGTTCTTTTGTGATAATATAAAAGCATAGACAGGTGAGCTTTTAAACTAAAGAATGTGTTCCTTATGGTTCTAGAAGTTGCAGAGTGAAGATCAGGACCCCAGCACAGTTAGGCTTTGGTGAGGGCTCTTTCTGGGGCTTCAGAGAATCCTTTTCTGCTTGTATCTTGCTTGTGGTAGAAAGAAGCCAGTGCACTCTCATTTGAGTTTTGTTCATAAAGAAACAAATCTCATTCCTGAGGGCTCCACTCTTAAGGTCTGATTAAGCTCAAAGACCCTTACTCCTAATACCGAGACATGACCAGGGCCAGGGGTGGGGATTGGGATTGCAACACACAAAGAGTGGGGTCTCAGTTTGTTGCAATTCAACTCACTTCATTGTTATAAAAATTTACATTCTGTATCATACAAGGCGCGAGTCCTGTTAGCGCTGTAACTACTTAGATCGTATCTGAATGCCACCATGCAAAAGCTACTAGCAAATACTAATGTGAACCAGATAGTGGGTCTCCTAACCATTAAAACTATCCAGAGAAGAAGGGCCCCCGAGAGAAGCTTTAATTGAGCCTTGACTCTTGGGTGCTTGATGGATAAGTCTAAAATTCTAAACCAGACCAGTGCTACCCAGTATGAAAGTCACAGATGTGCTTGTTGCATTGCTCTTCTAAGGATGTTCTTGGGATTAGGAATGGCAATTAGGAAATAAATTGCTGTGCTTGGTGATGAACTGAAAACAGGTGTTTCAAAAAGACTGAATGACCATTTGCTCACTGAGATGTATTTAAAACATTGGATGGAATACAGGGCTTGTTCTTTTAGGTCCTCATGGTCCAAGATTCCAAGATGCTGAAAAAGTAAAGCAACTTAATTATGCATATGACTTTCTGGTAAAAAACTGGTCATTCTTTTCCTGGGCATTTGAAGCAACTATAGCATAAACCCCAGGATCTTCTACTATAGAGAGATGGAATTGCTTTATTTATTTATGTATGTTTATTTTATTATTTGTGTGTGTGTGTGTGTATGTGTGTGTGTGTACATGCACATCTGTCTGTGGAGGCCAGAAGAGGGCATCAAATCCTTTGAAGTTAGAGTTAAAGGCACATATGAGCCACCTGACCTAGGTTATGGGATCCAAACTCAGGTTTTAATGATAGAGCAGTGAGCATGCTCAACCACTGAATTCCCTTTTCTAATGATCAACAGAGGGGATTTCAAATTATGTTTGCAGATTTGCATTGTGGATTGTGATGTCCAGAAATGTAGAAGAAACTACTTCTTTTATGTTGTTTTAGCATACATTTTATTGGGCTTATGAAATAATTTGGAATTTGGGTGATTTGTAACGTTTTCTAAATGGCTTTGGTGTCAGTATTGTAACACATTTTGCCTTATACTTTACAAGTATTCTTATGCCATAGCTTCCTATCATATATATGCTGAGAGATTGTCCAGAGATGACTAGGAGAATTAAAGAGAAGTATTCTGAATCTCCCTTGTGCTGCCCAGAGCCTTTGAATAGATTTAAAGCAGATTGAGTTATTCAAAGGAATGCCAATTTACCTATTAAAAAAATATGGTTTCAAGTATAACACAGAGCTTATAAATCTTGAAAATGGTTACTGGCTTTCTAGTTTCCCCATTTGTGAATGCGGATTCTGTTTGTTAGTCCTAAAATATCATGGGGCATAAGTCATAAATAGCACTAGCGTGGCATGCCCTGTCAATTGATGAGTAACTCTTAATCAGAATTTTAGTTTTTATTAAATTGTTTTGATGGAGAGGAGGCTTCCTTGGGCTGAGACATTTGGGGTAATAGTCACAGAAAAGAATGCCAAGGCTGGCGCCAAGCAGCACTTGGTGTTTCTGAAGCTGGCAGATGTAGCCCAGTTAAGTCATAGAATGAAATCTGAAAATAATGATATGGTCTTTTCCTTCAGTCAAATATTCAGCTCGGGTTGAGCTAATAATGAGAACCTTATGAACAAAGGAGTCCGCCTGACATCTGTGTCTGTGGTACAGCCAGCGAGAGTTCATTGAAAATTTGCTTGCTTAACATGCAATTCGAACAATAACATGGCGTGAACGTCAGTAGTTGACGGGTCACACAGAATTATGCATAAGCTTTATCCTATTAGGTTGTGAAGGGAGTGTTTGAGTCCCGTCGGAACCCTGCATACACATTCTCTGAAATCTTGGCTGCCTTCACATCTGGACAGGGAAGAAAACAGACCTGTTTGTCTGCTTCGCTGGGCTGTAGGGTGGGATCTCTCAAGGTCCTGCACTATACTTCGCTTCTAGGATATACCTCCACTACAGAAATCTATGGAAATGTAATCATGACTGATTTTGGATATAAAAGTGACTACAAAATTTATCCAGATCTTCAGTCTAATATTATAGAAAAAAAAATCTTTGCAGGCTGGTTTTGGTGCTCGTTGGTTTCCATGTCACGTGACTTATTAGTGGAGCAGATTGGACTTGATCTCAAGTCTCTTCATCAGGCAGGGCTGCACTTTTCCATCAGATTTCTCGCTACCCCAGATTGGCTTTCCCTGCTGTCAGCGCTGCTATCTCCAAGGTGAAGTGCACAGTACTGTTTTCAAGGTTATCCTAAACTGTCAGAATGGACATTTTCTGGGATGGCATGCTACGGAGCCACCTTGCCCATTCAGATACTGCTTTCACCTACAGACCAAGTTAGAAGTTGTGGGATAGACTCACTGCTACAAAAAGCATCTTATAACTTTTATATACAGAATAATATCCGGGCCTGCCTCATCTCACTTATATTGACTAGAACTGTCCCCCCCCCCCCGTTTCAAAACATTAGAAAATCTAGAGTTGATTTTGCTTTGCTGTGATTCTAATTTCAATGCCTTGTTAAAGTGACAAGAGTAAGATTGGTGTCTAGAAGTCAAGGTTTAATTATAATCATAAAACACACACACATGCATACACAAATACATGTGAAAATAATATCCTTAGATACAAATATAAAATGGGAATAAAATGGAAATATCATTCTGCTACCAGATCAAACTAAAGCAGGCTTCAGAGCTAATTTTCTTCCCATAATACCGATAAATATTTAATAAATGTTCATTGAACAAGAATAAAACCATTTAAATGCACTTTGTAAACGATGGGGTTGCCTAACTTGTCCTTCTGACCTTTGATGAAAGATTTATCCTCTACAGATACAAGTACATCCCAGAGGGAGAGTCTCTGACCCTTTAATCTGCACCAGACATTTAGAAATCAAACCCAGGCTATATCTGGATCCTAAAGCTCAGGCATCATCCTTAAATACCCAGGTTACAGCGCTTAGGAGATCCTAGACTCTAGAAGCAAGGAGTGTAGGTAGAATATTCTAAGAGATTTTAGCTAATCAATATATTTTGAAAAACTATTTTTTTTCAAAAATATATTTTTCTTACCAGTAAAAACCAATTGTAGAAATTAGCATGCTAATTTTTGTGAAACATTTTTGTGGGCTCTGTGCTTTGGTATTTTGAAGTGTTAATCTAGATGGAACTAGCTGAGCTTGTGTTAGCTGGGACTAGGGGTGCACTTTTCTTACATTGTACTGGGCAACCAACCATTCCCTAAGACATGGACTTTTAATGTAGGACAATGACTGTTCCTAGAATTGAAGCTTGAACTGATTCAAAATACTTTCATATTCCCTCTGCAAAGTTTGGATAGATTGTAGATATTAGAGCAGGGAAACCCAAATATATACTTATTGGCTCTAACCATAGAAATAACTTTAGTATCCTGCAGGGATGATGAGCCCAAGGTATTAATAGTCTTGGTTCCTTCTGACATTGAATGTGTGCCATTTTAAGTGAACTGAGTAGACCTGTCAGCAATAAATTTTAGATTATGTCCTTTCTGAATGAGATTTCTATCTTGTTTAAACCTGAGTAATAAAAAGCATTAAATAATAATGATGCAAACTACCAAGCCTTCTTTAACAACAGAAATAATATTGATTGAAACTTTATTTTTTCATGGACATTTTTAAGTGCATACCTGTGCTTGTACGTATGTAGGTGTGTGCATATGAGTCCAGGTATCTTTGGATGACAAGAGAATATTTTATATTCCCTGGAACTGGAATTACAAATGGTTGTGAGCCACCCAGTGTGAGTACTAAGTTCTTTGTTGAGCCATCTGTTTTGTTTTGTTTTTAATCTTGGGGCCTAAGATTTATTGAATACTTTGATGCAGTGTGTGAGATATATTGTGTATATAGTGGTATATTATTTGTATTTTGATAAATAAATCTTGTCTGAAGATCAGAAGCAAAGCTTCTACTACTAGAGGTCAGGCAATACTGACACACATCTTTAATTCCAGAATTTGGGAGACAGAGGCAGACGGATCTCTGTGAGTTCAAGGCTACCCTGGGCTACAATGAACAATGCAGAAACAAATCCAGATGGTGGTGGCTCACAACTTTGATTCCAGTACTGGGGTGTCACATGCCTGTAATCCCAGAATTATAAATATAAAATGGGAGGGTGAGAGGCTTAGTCTGCTTAGTTTTAAGTCACCCAGCCTTGGTAGACGGAAGACTTCTCTAGTGACTTGACCGCTTTGCATTTCTGGTTTTCGAGTTGAACCCCAATTTCTGTTTCTGGGTTTTTAATTATTCATGCTACAAGTGCATATATGTATGCATGCTCTCACACACACATATATGTAGAGAGAAATATTATTGATAAGTAGGTTAGATATACACTTTACTTACATAAAATAATATATTTTACTACATAG